TTGTTTTTGTGTCTTTTTTTAAAAAAAAAAATTCTTCTTCATTGTGAAACGTTTCTATTGTAAACAAGTGAACAGGTGGTAATGCAGATTTTTCAGTCACTGCTCATGACTTATGGCATTAAGTAGGCCAGTAAAGACAGGGATGTGTGTCGAAATTTTAGAGACCCCCTCCAGTGAAAAGAGAGTTTTCAACCTTGTTAACAAGTCCATGTGGTGCTTTTTATGATCCAAGATTATGAGCAAAATACGCAGTTGAGGCCTTGTCTGAGTATATTGGCCTCAGAGCTGCAGTCCACTAATGACAGTCTCAAAAAACATGGACTCTGACTCCAGAGTCTCAAACGTTACAAACCTAAGGAACCAATCCTGTCTACTTTTGTGGTGAAGCTTTCATATTATCAGCATAATGCTGCAGCAAAACAAGGGGTGTCAGAGGAGAAGGCAGGTGTAGATACATGTTGGTATTTTGCAAGTTTCACTTTCCCTTCAGCTTGTCAGAGCTGATGATCGGGAGCAAGCTTTATCTAACATTATTATTATTTATTTATTTTTTTGTCGTTTTTGTTAATAATCTGCCTTTTGTGCCAGAGAAACAAAGAAATCGTCATTATAAAGAAATTACTGAATTGTTTTAAAGTTATTAATCCCTTCATTACTACCTTTGAATATACACAAACATAATCATGCAAATTAATGAAAAACATATTTTTAAATAACTGCCCCAGAAGCCTTTTTACTTTTATAATACATCATCATTCCCTCTTTAATATCTTTTTCATATTGCTGTGAACACATCTACACATTTCTCCTTCAAACAACTACATTCAAGTGTCTTGCCAAAAACTACTATATAAAAGGTCACATTTGAACACCTCATTCACACATTATAATTTAATTTACCTTCACCCAATACTCATTTTTACTGAACAGAGCTTGAACGTATCATAATGTAAGGCAAGGCAACCTCAGTCAGATGTTGGTTCTGCTGACAGCTAATTTAACTAGCTCTCATCCTGTGGATGTCAATGTGAGTTTGTTGTTCACAGTGTAGCTTTATCAGGGATGCAATACAGTGCGTCCACTTAGATGTCAATAGTGATTTTACTGCCTCCTCAAAACACATTTTCTAATGTCCCCTGGGCAACAGGACAACATTAGTTTACAGCCATGCTTTTTAAGCCTGTGCAAAATTAATGTGACACAATGCAAAGATATGGACCACTGCAACAGTGATTGTCATCTTATTTGCCAGTAAGCTGATGGCAGTCAACGAATTTTGGCCAAAACCGATATGTGGCCGATTAATTAGTGCACCTCTAATTACTAGCTGTTTAATAACAGTCCAGCCAAAGGCTCATATTATCTAATACCTTTTAGAAGCACATGTTTGTGCGTTTGATGAGGAGAGTCGAAAGTGCGCAGGTTCGCCTTCATTAAATGCCACAGTGGCAAAACTGAGTCAACCATTTATGAAACTTAGGACTGCAAACCTTAAAGTCTATAAGAGATAAAGTTAAAGCTGGAGATTCTGGTGAATGGAACAGTGTTGTAATAATGACTCAAAGTTATTTATCGTGTTGAGTCAGTCATGTTGGGTACGTTCCCACTTACTCTAAATCCCATTCTGCAGATTTTTTAGTATGTCATCATTATAAGGCATGTTCAACACCAGCTTTCATAATTGTTTTTTTTTTTTTCTTTTTGTGTGTCATCTCATGTATTCTTTCACAGCAGTGTGCTGTCTGTCTACTCGGAAGAACAAGGCCCTGTGCGCTAGTCTTTCTCTCTCCACCACAAACCACAATGCATGTGGACAGCTAGACATCGACAGTACAGCAACATCCTCATTTGTACCTGCTGTCTGTCTGTCTGTCTAGCAGCTCACTGTAGCTGTCTGAACAATCGGAAATAATCCTCTGCCTTTTGAAAATGCTGGAGAGCTCTGTTCCCAAATGGTGAGTTCAGATTTTAATCCGGTTTATTTAAAATGTATTGACTTTACAGGATCATACAGTAAAGTCCAAGGCTCAGTGTGCTTCTTAAATATGAAGACTTTTATGGGAAATCCTGTCTGTCTATTATTAACATGGATCAGTGCGATTGATTACAGTGGAGACTGCACTCCTCTCAAACATCCGAGCTAATGTCTAATTAGCAAATGTACCGTGTGTGACTTTGTGGCTGTAATCTTTAATCGAGTATTAAACAAAAAACGTAAATGTCATTATAGCTATAGCTGATAATAAATAATAATACCAACAAAATCTTTATTAATATATAGATTCATTTGAGGTTTCCATACAGTGCCATCTCTGAATTTCTGAAGTGAAAACCAGAGGGGTTTTGTTTGTTTGTTTGTTTGTGTATTTGTTTGTTTTTTGTTTGTATTTTGGTGATATAACTTTACTATTCATTTACTACATATATTCACTACATTCACGGGTCCGTTTTTTCATGTAATCACTGTTTTAAAAAGTGACAAAATCGAAATGCACTTCCAGACAAAGATAATCGTTTTCTCCTAAGTTATACACAAATATATGTTTTATCAAATGCTTTATCATCACTGACTCAGATAAACACATGATCACAAAGTAATTTCCCTTACATATACTGCATGTTATAACAGCAACTTTTTCACAGTGACCTAATTGTGGACTTTTGCTAGGCTAACCACACAGCTCATCTCATGTGAACCCTCACACAACATGCGGTGATTGAAAAAACTGTCTTTACACGTCCTCGCTAAAACATGCATAGCTTTGAATATCACATGAGAAAGACCACAGCAAATGAATTAAGATATCTGAGCTAAATGTATATATTAATATCTATTATGTTTCTATTGACTGTTGGATTCCACATGCACATATTCCTGCATTATTCTGTGTGAGAGTCATTACAGTTTTAACAGATGTGGAACAGGAATTACTCAGCTGTTTGCACACTGCAGACTATGTAAAACCAACTCTCTTTGTGTTTGCACTTCTGCTGAAAGACTCACTACAAACTCCTCAGAGCATAACCAACACACTAGCAACAGTCATGTGACAGGAATGTCAGGAGCATCTTGTTTTTGTGTCTTTTTTTAAAAAAAAAAATTCTTCTTCATTGTGAAACGTTTCTATTGTAAACAAGTGAACAGGTGGTAATGCAGATTTTTCAGTCACTGCTCATGACTTATGGCATTAAGTAGGCCAGTAAAGACAGGGATGTGTGTCGAAATTTTAGAGACCCCCTCCAGTGAAAAGAGAGTTTTCAACCTTGTTAACAAGTCCATGTGGTGCTTTTTATGATCCAAGATTATGAGCAAAATACGCAGTTGAGGCCTTGTCTGAGTATATTGGCCTCAGAGCTGCAGTCCACTAATGACAGTCTCAAAAAACATGGACTCTGACTCCAGAGTCTCAAACGTTACAAACCTAAGGAACCAATCCTGTCTACTTTTGTGGTGAAGCTTTCATATTATCAGCATAATGCTGCAGCAAAACAAGGGGTGTCAGAGGAGAAGGCAGGTGTAGATACATGTTGGTATTTTGCAAGTTTCACTTTCCCTTCAGCTTGTCAGAGCTGATGATCGGGAGCAAGCTTTATCTAACATTATTATTATTTATTTATTTTTTTGTCGTTTTTGTTAATAATCTGCCTTTTGTGCCAGAGAAACAAAGAAATCGTCATTATAAAGAAATTACTGAATTGTTTTAAAGTTATTAATCCCTTCATTACTACCTTTGAATATACACAAACATAATCATGCAAATTAATGAAAAACATATTTTTAAATAACTGCCCCAGAAGCCTTTTTACTTTTATAATACATCATCATTCCCTCTTTAATATCTTTTTCATATTGCTGTGAACACATCTACACATTTCTCCTTCAAACAACTACATTCAAGTGTCTTGCCAAAAACTACTATATAAAAGGTCACATTTGAACACCTCATTCACACATTATAATTTAATTTACCTTCACCCAATACTCATTTTTACTGAACAGAGCTTGAACGTATCATAATGTAAGGCAAGGCAACCTCAGTCAGATGTTGGTTCTGCTGACAGCTAATTTAACTAGCTCTCATCCTGTGGATGTCAATGTGAGTTTGTTGTTCACAGTGTAGCTTTATCAGGGATGCAATACAGTGCGTCCACTTAGATGTCAATAGTGATTTTACTGCCTCCTCAAAACACATTTTCTAATGTCCCCTGGGCAACAGGACAACATTAGTTTACAGCCATGCTTTTTAAGCCTGTGCAAAATTAATGTGACACAATGCAAAGATATGGACCACTGCAACAGTGATTGTCATCTTATTTGCCAGTAAGCTGATGGCAGTCAACGAATTTTGGCCAAAACCGATATGTGGCCGATTAATTAGTGCACCTCTAATTACTAGCTGTTTAATAACAGTCCAGCCAAAGGCTCATATTATCTAATACCTTTTAGAAGCACATGTTTGTGCGTTTGATGAGGAGAGTCGAAAGTGCACAGGTTCGCCTGAGTCATGGGAGAGCAGCTGGGCAGCTGTAGTAGATTTAGTATGTGCAGATTTATGAATATGCGTTTATATTCATAAATCTGCACATACTAAATCTACTACATACTAGTATCTACATACTAAAACCCTGGATATGATATTTTGATGAATAGAGATAAGTTTCTACAGAAGTGCCAGGGGAGGAACTTTAAAACACAGGTTTGTGTATTTTTACTAAAAAAGTGTTTTGAGTATGATCTCCATCTGGAGCTAAATGCCCAGATGTCCAGTTGTCAATAATTTGGTTTTGGAGCTTCTTGATTCTGTTCATTGATTGCTGTGTATGTCTATTGTCTTTAGTCTACAGAGATGCTTGTGGGGCATGTGGAGTATCACAGGCTATACATCAATAATTACAGTGTGTTGACATACATCGCTCTCTTCTCTACAAATGCTGAAGTGCTGGCAATTAGCCCAGCGCAGCTCGTGTTTGTGGGTTGTTTCTGATGGATGCAGATCTTAATGGAGACTCGTTCCTTTGCTCTGAACAGTTAGACATGAATTACAGCTAATGAGGAACTAATGATGTGCAGTGAAGAGGCATTAAAGATGTCTTCTTTTTTTTTTTCTTGTTTTGGCAGTGAAAAGACTCCACGGACAAGAGCTAGACGATGGCTGTGTGTTATGATACTGTTCCTATTTGGAATTTTCTATATTTTAGAGCCAAGGGTGTCATGGTCCTCGGACTTTTGGACGCCACACTCATGGTCAAGCCAATCTCACAACAATACAACATCTTCAGACAACAGTGTACGTATATTTAGTGTCATCTTGAAACAAAAGCAGCTGGCTAAATGACTAAAGCAAAAGCCCTACACATAATGTTTTTCCCTGTTTATCTGATATGAAATGTCATCTTGACAAGTGATCAGCAGTAACACGTTTTCTTAATGCTGCCATTACAATAAATATGTGTTTAAGTCAAGCAGTACTTCCTTTTCACATCAGAATGTTTTAGATTAAGCTGACATACTATTTCAACTATTTAGATTCAGCCAGTGAAATGAGATTTGTAATTAGCTAATTATGTGTAAATTTTAACACGTTGGTTTTTAGTGTAGTAACCTGCCAATACAGAAGATTTTCTCCTGTGTTAAGTGCAAAGTTGATGGAAAAGACACAGGTGAACATAATTCTGCTCCAGAACGTGTGAATTAGACACTGTTCTGGAATAAACATAGACTGTGTGATTTACTACCTAAACTAGCTTCATTTACTCCTCTGCTTGCACAGATCTCACCAGATTACCCTTCACTGCCTTCACTATCTTCACCACCTTCACCATACTTTGTGGCATACCCTCATCGGTACCGTTTCATATTGAACGAACCCCATCGATGTTGGCTGGAAAACCCATTTTTGGTTCTTATGATCCCAGTTGCGCCCCACAATCGAGAGGCCCGTGATGCAATCCGCAACACGTGGGGCAAAGAAACAGCCGTGCTGGGCCGAGTGGTCAGCCACTACTTCCTCCTGGGACTGTCCAAAGAGGAAGATGGCACTGAAACCCTCAAGGAGCAAGTGAGTTGAGTCATTTCAAGTTAATGAATTGTCGTTCTCTATCGCTTTCAACCCTTTAACCTTTCATCAATCAAAAAAAGAACATAAACAAGAGATAGGAAAAATATTCCAGGAGTTCATTGAGGGTAAATCCAAGCACATTTCAGATCTTGGTGTTTACATAATGAATAAGCCAATATCAATGAGCTTCAGCAGATGCTTCAGAGAATGTAAAACTCACAACGTAATCAGAGCAGAGAAAAGAAAAAAGGGTAAAAATACCAGGCTATCGCTGCAGCCAAACAAAATGTACTTCAGAGAGCTATTGGGCTATGGGTAAGATTAAGAGCTGGTTAAACTGGTTTCTGTTTGTGTTGTGGCATGAGGACAGTAATGAAGAATTATCATCTCTGCCCATAACATCGCTGCCCTCATACTTCCATGCATCCTTTATGTTTGCATAGACACAGCCAATAGATGCCACTAGAGGGCAGAGTTAACAGTTTTAATGCAACAACAAACGAGGCCTTTAAACTGAGGCAGCATTCTAGATGTCAGTGATCTGTGCTGCCATTATCCAGCCTACATCCAGACATGTGGATGGAGAATTATTTTTACTGCATTACCGGTACGTTCCGTTCTGCCATTATTCAAATTTATGCTTCCACGATCTCTGGTGATGCTGCTCCATTTTGTCTGTATCTTAAAGCTTTCAGAAAACGTGCACAAATATGATTACCTCAGCTGCAACCAAGCAACAGTAAACATCGTAGATCTTGAGGCTAATGTTCGCGACAGTGGCAGATTTTCCTATAGGTGACATAAGCGGCCACAGAGGGCCAACCCACCCCCAGCTGGCACTGAGCATTAGTATGATGTCAGAGAGATGTTGGACTCTCACGTCGCACAGATGTTAAATTTTGGTTAGGATGAAAATCTGATTGAAAATATTATAAATGTCTAACAATGCTAAAATTCCACGTTATGTGGATGTTAACATTATGATGTTACAGTGTAGAGTACATTGGATTTTGGTTACAACACAACTTAAAACCAGCAAAATATCCGTGTCATCTGTCTGTAGTATTCTACATGAAATTGATGCTGGCATTAGACATCCAGAGGTCACAACCGAGACTCAACCAAATGGCCAGCTGGGCCTCCAATCCCCACCCCCACAAGCACAGAAAAAAAAAACAGAAGAAGAAGAAAGTAATCCGAAGTAATCAGAAATAAATCTATGAAATAAATGATGCAACAATCTGATGCTAACAATCCGTCTGCAGTCCTGGCAACGAAGCCCAAGGCACCAAATCTGCTAGATCTGGCAGTGGTTAGCAAGCCAATTACAGCTATTGACAGATATTTAAACTGAACGTTAAAACTGACTTCCCTGAATTATAGACAACCCATGGTGACTGCACCTCTCCAATCATAATCTCATCCAAACTCATTTAGCCTTCAGCTTACATTTGAATGTTTGAGATTAGAAAAAGGAACATCTGTGAAGTTTTTATCTCAGGTGAGTGATGCAACCCGCTTTCAAAGTTGGTTAGAATTTTAAAACTCCTGTAGTCTAAGCTTGGCTTTTGTGCCAGACTCGCAGAGAATTATCACCCAACTGCTGTTTTCTTAAGCTACATGATCCTTGTTTTTTAGTGTCTTTAAGATTTGGTTTTGGTTTTACACCCAGTGACTTTAGTTGAGTCTTGGCACTTTGATCAACCCTGTTTTTAGCAGCAGGAGGCAGCTGTTCTCAGCGAAAAAAATCTGATAGACCCACTGTACCTGCCCATTAGCCACAGACAGACAGACAAAGTCAGCATCTAGATTGTAAACATTAACAAGCCAGATATTTCCATCACGAGTTGGTGGAGACCAGACCTGAAGACCAGAGCTAAAAGGAGAAGGAATACTGACCTCACATTAGCCACGTCACCAGAAACTCAATTTCAAATGAATGCAAATGTTGCTCTGTATCTGCAGGATGTTGAAACAAGCAAGTGGTTGCTCTCTTGGATTCGCTTCCTGAGTGGCCAAGCAATCAGTTCACTACTGCTTTAAACTCAGTCTCCTATCTCCCTCTCTGTAGGTGTTACAGGAAAGCCGGACACACCACGACATTCTCCAGAGTGACTTCTTGGACAGCTACAACAACCTCACCATTAAAACTATGCTCATGTTTGAATGGCTCAGCTCCCATTGCCCCAACACCGCCTACGCCATGAAGGTCGACTCGGACATGTTCCTCAATGTCCACAACCTCGTCAACATGCTTTTGAAAGCCCCCCAACATCTCTACATGACAGGATTGGTGGTGAGGGGTGCTGCTGTTCTTAGAGACCATACTTCAAAGTGGTTTCTCCCGGTTTCTGCCTTCCCTGAGCGCATCTACCCACCGTATGCCCTGGGACTGGGCTATGTGTTCTCAATGGATTTACCCAAGAAGATACTGGAGGCGTCTGCACATGTTAAAGCTGTTTATATTGAAGACGTGTACGTGGGGCTGTGTATGAGGCATTTGGGAATCGCACTGACAGATCCTCCTCGTGGTGCTTTGTTTAGGGCATCAATACCTCACTGGACGAACAGTTGTTACTGGACCTCTGTTATTACAACAATACTCCAGAACTCTAGGCAGCTTTCAGATGTTTGGAGAGTGTATCAGTCTATGAACACTTCTGTCTGTGCCCAGTGACTATTTTGAAGTTACACCCTGTAACTTTATAGCCCCCTTGCACAGTACAGCGGTTATAGCACCGCTCTGTTTACATCATAGTTGCTGCCTTCCCGACTTTTGATACCAAATCAAAAAGAGGCCGTGAGACAGATGTGCATTTTGAAGCTGAGTAGAAAGCATTCATATCTTATCTTGCACAAGTGATTGGAAAGATTATATAGGACATTATTTTTTTATTCTATTTCCAAAGCATCTTTAATGGCATGATGGAAAACAATCATTTGTCCAGACAGATATGATTAGCACATAGTGTGCATGATTAGTTTTCACCGCACAAACTTCACTCACAGGGGTAAGAGGCTGAGCTTACACTGCAGCTGCATAGCAGAGTGTATTGAAAAGCACACAACCACACGCTTAAGATGGTTCATACAGGCTGCTGCAGAACAGCAGTTGCTGTTATTATAAATGTGGGGTAGTCTGAATAACCATGACATAAGTGAAATGTACTGTTAGTAATAGCAGAATATTCACCAGCAAACACATTTTTGTTGTACATGGTGGCACCTTTGGAACATCCTTGCATAGCTGAATATAATGTGAACAAGCATGATGTCATTATTTTAAACAAAAAGTAGTTTCCACACATGTTGGGCAATAAACTATTGTAGGGTTTTAACTTTAAGGGGTAGGGTTTTAACTTTAAGGGGTAGGGTTTGGACATTAAGGTTTTAACTAAAAACACTTATATGCTGCACACAGAGGATTTTTTGCAAGAATCTGGGGAGGAAGTGAGGTTGTGTTTTATTTAATGAGCGTGTTCTTGGATAATATGCCAAGTATGACGGAATGTTCTGTGTATTTCTCAGTATTTCTCTTTGAAATATTTTGAAGTCATACAATATGGTGAATATATTTAACAGATGTTTACGCAGTGGTCTGTACGCAAAAATATTTTTTGCAAGTAGGCTTCAACAAATGCAACTAAAAATACACTCTGATTCAGGGGTGTAGCACCAAATTCTGGGCCCTACACATAAGCAGTCTCGGGTTTTCTGACATCATTTTGAAGTCCTGTGACAGCTGGGTAGAGACAAATCCTAGTGCAAGGTTGGACTAAACCGTTTTGCACTTTTAAGGGGTGAGAGGGGCCTCAAAGAGCTTCCACTGTTTTGTTGTTGTTGTTGTTGTTTTTGATACAAACTTCATTTTTTGAAATTTTAATTTAGGTATCAAACTAATTATTTAGAAAAAAATGCAAACAAAAACAAACTTTTGATTCCAGGCTTTTTGAAAGCCCCACACCCACAGGGGTAATCAGTCCCAATTTTCTACAACAGTGGGTTTTTAGCTACTGCAGAGGCAATGTCAGTCTGTCGATCGGTCAGCCCACCACTTTGGTCCAAACTAAAATACATCAACTACTGAATGGTTTACCATGAAATTACCAGTTGAAACTTGGCCGGGTGCCCTAGCTTAACCCTCTGTACTTTCACTGGTGGTTTCGGAGGTGGACAGTAGTTCAGAGTCTCTTGCTCGAAAAGTTACAAAACTATCTATTGATAGGTGCCACACAGTGATTTAGCATTGGAAATAGTGGGTATATGGAAATCCTGGCGCTTTTGTAGTGGGTATAACCTGCATATCACATAAACTACACCACTGATCACCTTCAGATAATGTAATAATACAGAAAGCCCTATCTAGAGCCAGTGTTTGGTCTGTCCATTCTAGGCTCCTGTAGAAACATGCCAATGCAACTTGGCAGGCTTTGTGACAGAGAACTCACTCCCCATTTAGATATAAAGGGCTCCTTTAACAGTAATGAAAAACAGTTCTTAATTTCAGGTGAATGTACACAAATGAAGACATAATTATGAATATTATATTTAATTTCTACCAGTAGATCCTCTTCAATCCTTCACACTGGTCCTTTAACTAGAATCATCATCAGGTTAGAAAAGTAAAATACTGTGTATTATGGTGCGATGAAAGGAAAGGGAAAATATAAAAGTTAAATTTGTTAGCTATTAAAGGTAGGATAGTTTTGGGGGGGGGGTTTGTACTGTAAAAACATGGTAACAAAGCTGACCCTGTCCAGCCTTAACTAGACAGTACAGCTGAGTCACAGGGCATTATGTGTGAAGCACGTCTGTTTTCCAATGTTACAAACCTCAGGGAATCTTCTGGAAACCATTCATCTACATTTAGGTTTCAGCTGCAGGGTTAGAGATTAATCTGTCTATGAAATCTCAAATGTTATTAGGTTCACAGCAATCTTTTAAGACTGTTGCCAATGAAAGTTCTCAAAAAGGGAATCAGTCAACACAACAACAACACTTTGCTACACTCGGATAAATAAGCCAATGAATAATATGAAAATACAATATAGCTGTCGGTTTATGTTGGATTTTGAATTTGACAGTGGATATGTTTATTTATGATGACTTTCCACAATGTAATTATTTAATTTCTGATGCATATTTAAATATATTTTTACTTTGTAATAAATTTCTGGTGAGTTTATTTTATACAATGCTGACTAATCCTATCACCTGTTCATGAAATACATTTTCCTCCTTTTAAAAACAATGTTGACTCATTCAGACTGATTTCTCTCAGCTTCCACATCTTGGTCTTCTACTTTCTCTTTCCCTCTGCTTTATCAGCCATTATCAATAGAAACTGAAGCAGCAGTGTGGCTGACTGATACAACAGTGGGCAGTTTATACTTCTGATTTAAAACTGTGACAAAGATCTGTTCTTCTCAAGAATAGCTCAAAAGGCAGAAATAACATTGAAATGCAGTGTTCCCTTATCAGAACACCAGGAGACAATCAGATATGGTGTCTGAAGAATTCAGAAACAAATTTCATGTTTATGTGCAAATCTCTTCTGATTCGACCTGGTTATAAAAGCAGTAGTTTGTGGGACGGACAGACTAATGCACGTACAGGAAGAAAGAACAACTCGACTCATACATTTGTATCAAAGCCACTTCCTGAAATGACTGACTTCACAGAGGTTTTAAAGCAGCCCTGTCTCACACCTCTGTGTTTTTTTTCTCTCTAAGTAATGTCAGACATCATTTAAATGACATGCAAACATGAGCAACAGCTCTCTCCTGTGGTCAGCAGGCAGATGGAAAAAAAAAAGAACACGAGTGTTGAGTGGTACAAAATGAGAGAATATGAGTGAATCATTTTAAACACTGTCAAATAAAGGGAGAAGTTGTTGATTAAGTTTTAATGACTTCCACTAACAACATCACTTTACATGTAGCAGGGTACACACTGTTTAGTTTTGATCAACAGTTGTGGGATAAAATCTTGCATCAAAGTGTGGATGCTGTTACTGTGGCTACCAAATACTGTCTATATCTTGGATAATTAGATATTACATCCTGTATCACCTTTCTTGACAGTGATGCTAAATATTAATGATGCTAATTAAATGTTACTACATACTAAAATCACCAGCATCTGTGTTCAGGTTCAGGTCATGATCATTCTGCTTCTGCTATGGACAAGTAAATAACTCAATAACTACATCCTGAATAAGTATCCTGCCACATGGTGTGTGAGTGTGTGTGTTTTTTTTTTAATGTCAACACATTCATGTGCCTATAGGAGTTTAAAAACCCCTGTCTGAGGCCCCTTCGTGAGAAAAAGACAGATAAAGAGACACTGAGGGAGACAGACACAGATAAAGAGATGTGCTCAGCCAGCCCGTCATATTCACTTCAGCGTGTCTCTGCAGTGTCTGAATGATGTGTTGTTAACTGTGTGTGTGTGTGTGTGTGTGTGTGTGTGTGTGTGTGTGTGTGTCTGGTTGTGTTCTTTAAATTTTTACACTTACAAAAACCAAATATTCTCCAGTGGATGAAATAACACACAGACAGAAATGTAATCTAATGTGAAGACACGTTTCTGTAGCAGCTAACTTCTTCGACAGGTCCAAGGTTAAACTGTGCTGCTTCTCGGGTGACCTCTGCCTACCCAACCTTTGCCTCCACACACTCACGATGCCTGCAACAAGCTCAACTTGGTTTTCTCCAGAGCCTGTTCTGCTGTTCTACTTCACCCCTTTGACCCACATCTCTGACCACTGGTGGTCTTAGGCTGGGGAAGGGGGGTCACTGCTAAGGTCTGATTTTCGACACTCACACCTGAACCGGCACATCGACGTGCAGTACTGCTCCTACATATATGACCAGTTAGTTCTGCAACCTGACTCATTCCACGCTACAGGATCTGCAGCCTGACCTGAAAATGCAGATCTATGATAACCATGCCCTGTTCAATTAATTACAGTAGACTGCTCATGTTGAGTGACCATTTTAGGATGTTTCATACATGTGAAATTAAGATATTATATTTTAAAAGGGAAATACAATTTCAGCATCTCAGGGCGAATCTCATCGGACATCCGGAGGGAGCTCGGAGTAGAGCCGCTGCTCCTTCGCATCAAAAGGGGTCAGTTGAGGTTGCTCGGGCATCTGATCAGGATGCCTCCTGGGCGCCTCCCGTTGGAGGTGTTCAGAATCAGAATCAGAAATACTCTATTGATCCCCGAGGGGAAATTATTTATGTTACAGGTGCTCCTTGCAAGAGAGGAAAGATACGTGAAAATATAAGAAATTTAAACAATAGTATTAACAAATATATAGTTAAATAAACAGGAATTATTAACAAACATAAACGTAAATAAATATATATATATATACATATATATAT